TCTCTCTCTCTCTCTCTCTCTCTCTCTCTCTCTCTCTCTCTCTCTCTTTCTTTCTTTCTTTCTTTCTTTCTTTCTTTCTTTCTTTTTGCTTCTTATCCAAGAACCAAAGAAAATATTTTCAAGGAGGAAAACAGAAAACAAAAACGGACCCAAGAAATTTCCAAGTTGCCTTTTGGAAAGAAAAGAACTTTTGGCGACTCAAGGGTTGAGTTTGAGGGCCTTGGAAGCGAGGTCATACCCTTCGTCCCTCCAAGCCTCCTCTTGTGGGCGGGTGGGACTTCAAGGCCGCGTCCTCCCCTCCCTCCCCCCCAACCTCTTCACCCTGAGCCCCTCGTAGTAATTGCAACCATTTCCATGCAGCTTCTCAGGGCAGCAAGGAGCTCCTTAACATCCCCAGCTGGCCCACAACTCCCATTATCAACTCCGTCCTCCTGAAGAGTGGAAAAGCCTGTGGAAGAGAAAAAAATTCCCAGCGAGAGATGGTTGGCAAGCTGCCTGACGCATGAGCGATAGGCTGAATTAAGACCGGAAAAATGAAAGCACAGAGGTGGCTAAACTCTTTGAGCCTGAAAAATTTGGGGGCGTCCAGCAAACGACGCTTGGGGAAGCACCCCCTAATTCCTGGCGGGAGAGCCGGATCGTGTGAGCTATTTGTTTTATTTTACACACCGCGTGTACTTCTTTGCACATGCCTATAGCCCTGGCTTGGCGCTTCGAGGGCTTCGCTGGAGGGAAGGCCTCGAACCCAAGCCAGGGTCCATCCGACACAGAATCCACCTTGCAAACCAGCACAATCACACACAGACCTGGGGGGGGGAAACCCCATACGTTTTCAGCACGGGTTTTATGCACCCCTTTTCCTGCCAGTGATGGGAAAAGGTGCATGGGTCTCCCCGTGCTGAAAACAGACACCGTTGCACTAACAAACCGTCATTGCCTTTGTTTCCATGGGCTTGCGCGAAGAGCCGGAACTGGGGGTGTATGAGTGACAGGTAAGTCTTGCACAAAGACAGACGAAGTAAACCCTGCGGGAAAGTGTCCAACATCTATAAGGTGGGGTGAGTAATGGTTCCATTGCTGGTCGCCTCTCCAAATTGGCAAAAATGACAATGGTGGCTTGCCTTGAACATTATCCAGGTTAGAAATTCTTCATAGCCATCCCACCATCCTGAAGCCCAAGAGCCAGTGGATCCTCCATAAAAACTTGCTTACATTACCTATCAGTTAAATAAACTGTAGATTGATTGAGCATCCATTAGTCATTATCTTCAGGCTAGTTTCTTGCTACTTGCGTTGGGGGTGTTTTTTTTTTGGCTGCGCCTTGTGAGTCAGTGGTGTGACTACCTGGACAGTTTTCTCGGTGGGGAGAGAGCATTTGAGAAGGGGTTGGCTGTTGTCTGCCTCCGAGGGCTGAGATAAGTGACTGGGCCAAGATCATCACTAATTGGTTGTGTGGGTAAGGCAGGACTAGAACTCCCAGCCGCCTGGTTTCTAGGCAGGTGCCTTAAGCACCGCTTCTCAGTCTCAGCAGATGTAAGCTGTGTGCACTTCTCAGGCTGCCTGCTTTAAGATCTGTCCTTAGTAAGCATCTTATGCGGAATCTTCCATGTTGGAGGATATTCTCTGTAGCGTGCAAATATAGGATGATTAAGATCTCAATTCTTCTAGTGGGAAAAAATGTGCATTATTTTTTAATCTTCAAGGTGTGCTAAACCTCTAAACTTTTAGCGTTTTCCCCAGAATTGGAAGGTTGTATAGATACAGGTGGTCTTCGACTTACAGCCACAATTGAGAATAGAATTTCTGTGGCTAAGCAAAGTGTTAAGTAAGTTGGGCCCGATGTTACATTCTCCTGCGCCACAGAGGTTAAGCAGTTATTAAGTGAATCACACAGTCGTTAAGCAAATCGAGTTTCGCCTCCCTCCCCCCTTAATTTTGCCTGTCGGGAGATGGCCGGGACGGTTGCAAAAAGGGAACCCCGTGAGCCCAAGGATGCTTGAACCATTATAAATATATGCCGGTTGCCCAGCGACTGAATTTTGATCCTGTGATGGAGGGGTCGTAAGTGAGAGGACAAGGCCCGTTTCTTTGTGTGTGTCCCGCCATAACCTCACATGGTCGCTAAATGAATGGTTGTAAGTCCAGGATTATCTTTATTGTGAGGGTGCAGATAGTGTCGCCCCAGAAGAGAGGTTATGGGTGGGGGGGGGGAGGAACCCTCATTACAGGTGCTCCTTGATAGCCTCAAGGTGTCCTCTTGACCAACAAGAAATACTCCAGGATGCCACAGAGGGGAGTTACAGGTAGTCCTCGACATACAACGGTTCATTTAGTGACAAGTTATAACAGTGCTGAACAAAGTTTTTCACACTTGCAACCATTGTGGTGGCAACTGACTCAAGTTTACGGCAGTTGCAGTGTCCCTGTGATCAACATTCGAACCCTTGGCAACTGGTTCGTATTTACGACGGCTGTGGCGTCCCCGGGGGGAGGGTAATGTGGTCCCCTTTGGGAAGCTTCTGACAAGCCAAGTCAGTGGGGAAACCGGATTCACTTAACAACCATGTGCCCAACTTCACAAATGCTGTGGTTCACTTAACAACTGTGGCAAGAATGTTTGTAAAACAGCTCAAAACTCACTTAAAAGATGTCTCGCTTAGCCACAGTAATTTTGGGCTCTGTTGTGGCCATAAGCCGAGGACTGCCCGTATCCCTTCCTCTCCATTTTGGGCTGCTGAGCTGAGCTGAGCGGATTCCTGCTTTCTGCTTCTCACTAAGCCTGTTGAAACTTAAACAAAATAATTTTTTTAAGAAAAATTCAACATCTGACTTTATGCTACCAATCCAAGCAGTCCTCGGCTTTTTACGACCAATTGCTTAGCTACCTGCCAAGACCTACCTGAGAGTTACCTACACCCCAGATCCAAAGTCCCGGTGGCCATTCCTCTTCGCCCTCCATGACTGCGGGACGGGCGCCACCAGTCCTGTGTTTATGGCCGTTTCCAGTGTGCCACCGTCATGTCACCACGTTTTCAGATGCTTTTGCAGAAAACTGATGTTTTATTTCCATTTTTTGGCAAAACCGGCCCCTAGTGAACAGGTGCTTCACTTAATGACCAATCTGCACGGGGGGGAGGGGGATTACTTACACCCAAGATTTGAAGTTCCAACAGTTGCACACACACGCACACACATACACATACCATGGTCACATAGTCGCACTTCAGATGCTTGATAACTGGGCTATTTGCAGTATCCCATGGCCATAGGACTGTCTTATGACAGTTTTGTGGAAAACTGGGTGCAACAAAACCCGAGAGCAAACCATTGGTTCACTTAATGACCATGGCAGGGGTCTCCAACCTTGTCCACTTTTAGACTTGTGGACTTCAACTCCCAGAATTTCCTCAGCCGGTTTGGTGAGGAATTCTGGGAGTTGAAGTCCACAAGTCTTAAAGTGGCCAAGGTTGGAGACCCCTGGACCATGGTGTACACTTAAACAGTTCTCACAAATGGATTCAGAAAATGGAGTTTCTTGCCAGTGACATGGAAGGGAGGGGAGGATAGGATAGAATAGGAAAGAAGAAGGAAGGGAAGAAAAAGACAGACAGACTTTATAAACCCTCATGCCCTACCCTAACTCAAGGAAGTACCCGTGGTCTGCAACCACACCACCGATCCACACACTGAGTGTTTTCTGTGTGCAGCAGAGGGAAAGAGAAAAGGATGAAAGCAAAGGGACAGTTTCGGCTCTTTTCGCATCCTTTTTGTTTTTTAACGCAAAGCAATTGCAAAAAGTTGGGGAATTCATTTATTTTTGTCCTTTTTCCAAAATTGTTCTCATACACCGTGGGAAGTTTTTTTGTTGGGTTTTTTTTTTTCATTCGGCTGTGTGGCAAGATTTTTCTTCACAAAATCTTTCCTTGGAATCTCTTACATGTCTGATAATTTCTTTTTTTTACTTTTCACACTTAGTAAACTTGGTTAAAAACCTTTCCGTCCAGTCTCCGTGGAAGTGGGGGAAAAAAGTGTTAGTTGGCCCTTCAATGAGGACAGAAGGAATTGGTTATTTAGGCCTCCCTGGTGTTCCTACTTTCATGCAACTAACCATAATCTCCACTGGATCTTGGGGAATTGATTCATATTAATTATAATATTTATATTTTCTATTCTTGCTTGTAATAATTTTTAAGCAGGACTAACAGATTTAAGTACTACTAGTAGTCTTCAAAGTACAGCCACAATTGAGCCCAAAATTTCCATTGCTGATCAAGACCGCATTTAAGTGAATTTTGCACCATTTTACCACCCTTTTTTTTTTGCTACGGTTGTTAAGTGAATCACTTCAGTTGTTCATTTAGTCACAAGGTTGTTAAGTGAATCCGGCTTCCCCATTGACTATTGCTTGTCAGAAGGTCGCAAAAGGGGAATGCATGACCCTGGGACACTGCGACCATCATAAATGTGAGTCAGTTGCCCAGCGTCTGAATTGGATCAGATGACTCCAGGGATGCTGCATTGGTCATAAGTGTGAAGAAGAGTCCCAAATCCCTTTTGTTAAGGACTGTTCCAGCTTCGGTCACTAAGTGAATGGTTGAAAATCGAGGGCCACCTGCATTTGAAAGCAGCATTGCACTAGGTATGTTAAGGAAGATAACGTTGAGATGGAAGCATTAATGGTTTTGTTTAATAACACACATTATGTATTTATTTAGAAAATGTACATAGCCGCTCGACTCACTCCATGGCCTTGCAGAAATAATACTTCCAATAAATCCCCCACAGCAACTCGATGAGCTGCACATCTCCCTGGGGTCTCCAGGTCCATGGGGAAAACCGTGTTTTCAGAGACCTTGAGAATAAGGTCAATGTGGGCGTCAGTCTTATCTCTGTAGGGATGATATTCCACAGGGAGGGAGCCACCAGGTGGGCCTCTTTAAGAGAAGGGACCCGTAACACCTCCTGTCTCTCCCTGCTGTAGATGGGACTGCCCCAAAGGTGCTTTCTCAGGAGGCAGCTGGACTTTTCTTGGTGTTTCTTTTTCCTTTGAAGACGTTCCGTTTCTCATCCCAGTACTTGCTTCAGAACAGAGCTGAAGAAGCTTCTTGGAGGAGAAGTGAAACACCTTCAAAGAAAAGTCCAGTTGCCTCCTGAAAAAGCATCTTTGGGACAACTATGACCTGGAGGACTGAGAATACCCATATAGACTTTTATCGATGTGGCTAGGAAAATAGGGTCCTTCAAATAGTAAGAAGGAGCCATCACCGAGAAGGCCCTCCTTAGGAGCCAGGACTCACAAGTAGGGTGATGTTCCTTCTCTCGTACCTGGGGCCTAATTCGCGACTTCCTGGCTTAATTCGAACCATGGTTTTCTGATCCATGTTAGCTCATAAACATACCCTTTGCTTGCACGTAGGGGGTAGGACTTCCCTGTCCTTCAAGCGGTAAGGCGTATCTGCTGTGGGTGATGGCAGAGGTGCTTCAGGGTTGATGAAAGATGAACTACGAAGAATCAGGAACAAGCTTAGATTTTGAAATTGGTGGGGGTGAATACAGTTTTTTTTTTGGCTTTGGCAAGGATGGCATGTAGAAGAATCTCATTCTTTCTGATTTGGTATCATCATTTACTCTTGTTGATTTTTGTTATTTTTCTCATATTTTTTTTTATATTGCATTGTATGATAGTATTATGACATGATATTGTATTATTTACATTACATTATAATACATTATTATATTACATTACAATACTGCATTATATTATATTTCATA